AAGTTTATTTCTGCGCACCATTAACTTTTGGTTTATGACAGGCCAAATGCACAGTGGTCTAAGATCCACCGCGAAGGGTAACCGTTGGGCAAGAGAGCGAGAACGAAAGGGTTCTTTACCCTGCCTTAAATAAAACAGAACTTGTGCCACTGTGGCCAGTGGCACTGGTTAATTGCATATGTATAGGGAAGGCAGCCGCTTGGGAAAGCCGTAGGGTAAACCAAAGAGAAAATCATTAATAAAGCAGCTTAAAATTGCATTAACACTGCAAATGCATGAATGTAGTATATGTCTGCCATGTATTTTAAGCTTCTCGCTCAGTGCAAAAAGCAGATTTAAAAGTCGAGAAGTTGAGCAATTTGTACTTTACAACCACAGAGCCGCAATGCAAGAGCAGCCAGAGAGGACGCATGCCAAAAAGGATGTGGGGGGGGGGGGGAGACAGAGTCACACTAGTTCCTAGTTGCATGCATTAGTCGGGGGACATAATGTCCTGCAAATTGTGGGCATTTTTCAATTTAATGAGGTGCTTTACTCTCAAATTTTCACAAAGACCAGCAGCAGCAGACAGAGCAACAGAGAGAGAGAGAGAGAGAGAGAGAGCGAGGCCAGAGGCCACTCGAAGAGCCAAGGATAAGTACGAGTACGTCATTGTAATGGCACTGGCCGACTGCCTGCCTGACTGCCCTGACCGTTCGCCCTCGCTCTCTCTCTCTCTGGCAAGAGACCATTAAAATGGTAAATTGCGGCCGGGAAATTGCATCATTCTTTCGTATCATTTCACAGTTGCGTTCTCGTTTTCGTTCTCATTCCCACTCTCGGTTTGCTGCTGAGAGTCGTCTGCTATTGGCCAAACTAACTACATTTCTAACATTGCACATTACTCATACGCCGCGTCGTGCAGCCACCAGCTCAATGACTGCCAGGCGTTCCGCAACTGCACATCATTATACAGAACCATCCTTAAACAGTTCTCTGGCTCAGACTGAGACTCTGTTTCAGGCTTCATCTTATCCACATGCTCGTCAACGTCAAGTGCCGCTTGACTGTCATGGGTGCCGTGTGTCTTTGAGGCCTCTGCCAGATGAGAAAATCACACCAGAAGAAGGAGTATCGGTGTCTCTGTGGGTGTCTGTGCCTTTGCACATGTCAAGCGGCTGCTAAATGTCATCCGACACCCAGATATAGGCAGCCCAAAGCCAGTCAAAGCAGCCTTCTGGGCCTAGGAAAGTGTTTCGCAATGTGGCAACTATTTTTCGTGCAGCGAAACTGAAAAGATCCTTTGGCAAACGACAGGCAGCAGGCAGGGCCACAACGAGAGTGATGTCTTACTAAATCTGTATTATAGCCAGCCAATGGAAACTAAAAGGATAAACTTTTGCTGTGGTAGTGCAAAAATATTCAACGTTGGCCTGTCTAGGGGGTATCCTTTCGTCGCCTCTGGCTTGCTTTCCGGTTAGATTTATTTTCTCTCACTGTTTCAATGATTTACGAGTGCTACTGTTCAACTTTTCTCACTCTCTTCCGCTCCGTGCTCTGCGTCTCCTCTCTTAGTTGGCATTCAACGAACTTGAGGTCTGCTCTGCCACACAGCATCCGGACAAAGTGTTAATGAGCACGACACGCAGGCACTTCAATATATTGCGCTCTGGTTGCTTTCATTATACGTTATTATCCCACCCATCCCATTCCATCCCAGTGACAGAGCCACTGGCAGAGTGCGTATGCTTAATATTTTTGTGTCACTTATGTAGTTTGCACTTTGACAACAGCTCTCTGGCCGCTGTCACACCACAGCAAACATCGCACCATCCCCCGATGGGTGGTCGTGTCAAGTGTTTGCTGCAGATTTTAATTTCGGCCACTTGATGTCTGCCCAGCGCTGCCTGGGGCTCCCCCAGTCCACTGCCTCATCCTGTTTGATGGCTGCACAGCAAAAAAGAAAGGAATTAAATTAAAATTTTAATTAAAACAAGCGCTTGTCTGTGGCATAAAGCACATCCATGATCTTTGCATACACTTTAAGCCGCGGGGCTGTTTAATGGAACGTGTGTGTATCCGAGGATGATGCCGCTTGTGGGTATCTCCGAGGTTGAAGCCGTCAGGCAGCTGTGGGAGTGAGGCTTAAATGTCGGCCACCTTAAGCGGCTGAGCTATTGTACAGACAGCACATGCCAGCTTCATAATGGACTGAAGCAGGTGTTGATGCCATGGCATAATCAATAAAAGAGGGTTGAGGCTGTTCCCTTCATTTAAACTTTAACTGACGTTTGACTTTTCCCTTTACACAAATAAATAAAAAAAAGAAACCATTTTATTGCAGATTTTCATGAAGCTCGTTATGCCAGCAGCAGAATGCCCCCCGAGAGTTGTCATCAGCATCATCATCGTCATCATCAGCTAATGACCCTGGAAAATGGCCAAAATAAACGATAACTGAAGGCTGCACAGCATGGGGCCTGGCCTGGTCCTTGGTTGGTAGGAGAATAACTGGGATTAAATCCGACTTCCGGCAATTTTCAACATCATAAATAATATTTCAATAAATGTACATTGCATTTTTCTCGACTCCCTCCCGCTGAGCACTTAATTACGTTGCGAACCAGCCAGGGCCAGTCTTCGTCACAGTCCTGACCTGCTCCGAGTCCTGTTTAATGCTGGCATCAATATTGATGGCCAGTCTGTCGGCTCCGTAGGGTGCATCAGGAGTTGAGCTATGAAATTAGTTTTGCAGTCTGTGACGCCCAGCGACACAAAGGCTCACACAAGATCATGACAAATACATTTCTGTGAAGTCTGCGGGTTGCAAATTTCATTAAGATTAAGTTTGGGCCGACAGCAGATTCTTCTGGCACCTTCTGGCATAGCACGATAGCAAGTGCAACATAATTCCCGAACAATACATCAGGAGAGTGGAAGGCAAAATTGTAATAATTGAATTGATTTCACTCATTCAATCTCCGCTTTGTTCTTTTCCCCTCTCTAGCCACACGATGTGCTTAGTGGATATTCCTTCAGCTCTACCGCCACATTTCTGTCCCTGTTCCTGCCCCTGACGTCTTTTGTTTTCGCTTGCCAATTTTTGCTGGCCAGCGAAATGAAAATTGAAAATTGAATATTTCCGGCGACACAATGGGAAAGTCAGAGCAGAAGCAGCAACAAAAGCACCAATAGCAGCAGGAAAGCAGCTTTGCTGTTTTCGCCACTGACCTAACCTCATAACCTTCCTATGGCTCACACCGCCCGCTCTCCCATTGTCGACTTTTGCACTTTCAAAGCGCGAATGCTGCTGCATTTTGTTGGATTTTCTTTATTCTGCTTTTGAATCGAAAATTGCATTGCTGAGGTAAAAAATTGTGAGAGAGAGAGTGAGAGTTGGGAGGGACAGCGAGGCAGCGGAAGAGAGTGTTCAAAAATATGGCAGCCAACGGAAAACGGAAATAAGCCAAGCGCCTTCAGCTGCTTCAGATTTCGAGCGAGAGTGCGGGAGTGAGAGACAGATGAAAGCTGTTTGGCATTCCGACTTCGCGATTAAAGAGTTCGATTCGAACTACAAGGGGCAGATGGACAGCAAAAATGTTTTCCAATTAGAGTTTAGAGCAGGTTTACCTTTCTCCAGGGGGCTTTGTAGATTGCACTGGGAGTGGATCATAAAAGTGGATTAGATTTGGGTGTTCAATAAATCTCTATAATTCAATTGTTAGCCAGCTATTTGAGGATTATAACACCGCCATCGTTCTTAGTTTGTTCAGTTGTTCAGTCAAAGGTAAACCAGTCAAAGGTCTGCCCCACTGATAAAATGCAAAATTTACTGCTCCAAAAATAGAGATAAACAGATGAAAATTCGAGCATGCAATGGAGAATGGGATAATCCCACTTTGGCCACAATTTAATTACAGTTTCCCCACAGCACCCACTGCATTCCATTCCGAACAAAGTTCCCATTTCCCGGCGCATTAGCGATCCGCAACGGCATTGAATTAAACCGCCATTAAAATAGATTCCGAATGTGCGAAAAGCGCACAAGGAAAAAAAGGTGCAAACTAACTGGACATTGGCGGGGCTCTCTGGGTTCGCTCGCATTAAAACCGACACGAATAACAATGGAGAAATCCTATTTGAGCGCCGCATGCAATTAAATACATGCTGAGTGAGAACGAAGGCTGGCAGGCAGATCATCAAAGTTGCCAGTTGCCAGTTGCCAGTTCGTGTGGCAGAGTGGAAAGCACACATGGGTCCGAGTTTCGAGTCCCGAGAGCCACTAAATCCGGAAGTACACAAATCGCATAGAACACAGCGCCACGAAAGAGCGAGAGTGGTGCAGAGAGTGGGGAGTGAAGTGCCACAAGAAGTTGGAACAACAAAAAAATATAACCAGAAATAAAAAGTGTCGGGACACTGATTCAAAACTGTATTCAAAATGCACGCCAAAAAGGGGCTATGTGGGGAACATGTAAAGGCCAGCAGCTCCTCTCTCCATCTCCCTCCAGCTGTACCTATTTTTTAAGCCGCATTACAAGTGCAGGCAGCTCGACGAATCGGGATTACCAGCAGCCAAAATGCAGCTGCGACCACCGCGGAGAGTGGTTCAAAGGGGGTTGGGGTGGAGTGGTCTGGTCCATTATGAAGGTTCATGTCAGCGCTCTGTCCATGGGTCAGCAGCGAGTAAACAAGCGACTTTGCGGCGCTTTTGAATGTTGTTTTTTCCCCTTTTTTTTGCTGGTAAATATATGCCAAGTGTCTGATAATTGAAATGCTCAAGGGTAGTGTGCAGTGGTGCTTCGGGCTAGTGGGAATATAAGAGTTAGAGGATTAAAAAAATCACTAAAGTGCAGAAGCAAATGGAGTGAAATGGAGCCAAGTTAAACACTTAAAATCCATCAAATTGAATCTCAAGACATTCCTTTCTGCCATTCTTCGAAGTCTTTAAAAGCAGCCAAAGGAAAATAAATCAAAGCGAATCATTTGAAATCTACAAAAAATGTCAAAATTGTTAGAAAAGTTTCAAATAAAAAATCTAAGCCATGTCCCCTCGCTCAGCTCGTGGCGGGAAGGATTTTTTCCGTCGCCAGAGCATGAGCTATCTGGATACGATCATTGAGAAGCTGTTGTCGGACGGCGGAAATCCGCGTGCCAATGAGCTAACTGAGAAAGAGCTAACGAACATATCCTCGTCGGCCCGAGAAGTGTTTCTGTCACAGCCCATGCTGCTGGAGCTGAATGCGCCGGTGAATATTTGCGGGGACATACACGGGCAGTTCAAGGACCTGGTGAGGATGTTCAAGAAGTGTGGCTTTCCGCCCAGCTCGAACTACCTGTTTCTCGGGGACTATGTGGACCGGGGCCAGCATTCAGTCAAGACGCTCGCCTTGCTGCTGGCCTACAAGCTGCGATACCCGGAAAACTTCTTCATGCTGCGGGGCAACCACGAGTCGGCGGAGCTCAACCATGTCTACGGCTTCTTCGATGAGTGCAGGACGCGATACAGCGTCATGTTGTGGCGCTCGTTTGTCGACTGCTACACCTGCATGCCGGTGTCCGCCATTGTGCAGGACAAGATCTTCTGCGTGCATGGGGGCCTCAGTCCAGATCTTCATACCCTCGACGACATTCGGCGGCTGAAACGACCCACTGGTGTGCCCAGTGCCGGTCTGCTCTGCGACCTGCTCTGGGCCGATCCGGACCCCAACACCGAGGGTTGGGGCTGGAACGAGCGAGGCGTTAGTGTCACCTTTGGCCGATCTATTGTGGAACGCTTCCTGAGGCAGAACAACTTCAACCTGATTGCCCGAGCCCATCAGGTCGTTGCGGATGGCTATGAGTTCTTTGCCAATCGCCAGCTGGTGACCATCTTCTCGGCTCCCAATTATTGCAACGTCTACGACAACTGCGCTGCCGTTCTGGTTGTGAACTACGATTTGCTCTGTCACTTCACGATCATTCGACCAGAGAATCCGCTACCTTTGATTGCAATGAAAAGAAAGAAAGTCGAAAGCTCCCGAGCACTGCCAGTGGGGCGGGACTCTTAAGATTATTTGGGATTTTTCTATTTACCAATAAATATGGACACATTTAGGGATTTATTTGAAAGGAGAGTTTTCGTGGGCTACGGCTGCCGGTTTCTCGTCTTTCAGCCAATTTAATTGCCTGCAATTATGGTTCAATCGAAGGACATTTGGGGGTCAGACGAGAAAGCGTTTCCCAGCTATGATTAAGTAATAAATCCTAATTAAAATTTAATTAAAATGCCCAATGCCAAGGGGGCGACGAGCTACATAAGTAGAGCCAGCCAGGGGCAGGAGTAAGGTGCTATAATTGGAGCCACAAACGAGGTGGGGAGGGACAAGAGCTGAACAGCATGCCAGGTGGGCCGTAACTTGGGGGTGGGGGAGGATTGGCAGAGGTGTGGCAACAGACGGTGGTAACTTTTGTTTGACTTTGTAAAACGTCTGCCTGGCCACAATTTTCGCAGGGAAAATAATTCCATGTGCAAATATTTAAATGCGGCTGAGGCGCGTGCCGTGGGGTGCACAAGGAACTCATTTTGTTTACAATAAAACCCGAAGCAACGTAATTTATACATCCATGTGTGCAAGCATAAACAAAAGGTTTTCCTTCATATTTTCGCAAAGCATAACGCGCAGGAGGCGGAGGAGCAAAGAGAATAATCTGAGCAAAACAGGCGGGAAAGGGCGGGATGTTGTGTGCCTGCAACTATTATGTATCGTACACATGCAGAAAAACAAACAAGAAAGGTGGAAATGGTGTACACGGGACGACAAGAAGAAGCCCACCATTATGTGAGAACAGCTCTCAAGGAGTATTCAGTCAATTATATGAACAGTAGTCCAAAAACAATATACACCCTACTCCAAACTAGGCATTGACAAATACCTTGTGTCTATATAAATATTTATTGTGTGTACGTGATTTTTACATTTGCTCCATAAATTACGTCTAGGGGTTGGCGGCTGGCTGTGGTGCTTATTATTATTATTGCAGCCTCTGGCCATTCGGAGTATGTAATTGATTTGTACTCTTTTTTACGGAGCAATTTTATGTCATTTAAATCAATTTCGAGGGTAATTTATGCTTCAGGGTAAAGAAATCCCCTCCCACACAAAGGTTGACAGTGCCACAAATAAATTTCAGGGATATTGATTAAATATTGAACCAAATCCTACCTTTTTCCCCTCGTTCTTCACACTTGCCAGGTTCCACTCTTACGATTATAGGTCCAATAAAATACAACAAAAAAATAAAACGAAAGCCAGGCACTTGTCTTTATGGGTAACAAAAACTTTATGCTGGCATTTCGGAACAAATACCCTGAAAGAAAAGGGAAAAATTAAATAAAAATGTAAGAAGCAACGAAATGATATGATGGCACTTACAGACAGTACAGGTGTGAGGAGGGGCAGGGCCAACACGGAGATGGTTGCTCCGGACAGATGATGTATAAAAATGTGAACGGCAACAAGCGAGAAACTTGTAAGTGTCCGAGGCAGTGGCAGGACTGGGGGAAGAAAACTTTTACCAAACGGTGTCAAAACATAAAAACGAAAATTAAGCAAAAGAAAAAACGGCATCCCATGCGAGAGTCTGTGTGTGTTTGTTTGTGCTCTTTTAGTGGCTTCACCTCTGTTCCTGACACCTGCGCACAGTATTTCCTTGAAGACAGCTCTAGCTCCAGCTCAAGCGCCTTCGACCAGGAAATGAGAAAATAAAGAGAACGCCAGGACAATCTGCAGCTGAAAGCATTGCTGATAGCTGAGAGCTGCCCAAAAGGCAAAGCGATAAAAAAATACAAGTGGGATATTTTAATCAACTTATACCGACTATAAGATACCCACTAAAATCGTTTATTTATTGACCACTAAAAGACAATGATTAATGATTTAGAACCCATCTTGAGTTGAGGCTAAAATGGAAGGCAAATGGTCTTAGCGATGGTTGGTCTGTCGATTGATCAAACCCATAAGTATGTCTCCCAGTAAAAGGTATCCGTGACATCTTGTACCACAAACAAAGTACACTCTTGAAGACCCAGACTACAGGGTGTAAATGTCCAGGTCGTGTAGCGCGCCATCTTAAAGTTCCAACGTTACCATAATACTTAACGATAACTGGTGGGTGGGTGGTGGTTTGGGCGCTCGTTCCGGCATGTCCGCTGAGATCCCCAGTCTAATTGGCATGCAAAGGTCGTCCCCAGCTGTCCACGCCGAGCATTGCTTTGGGGCCAATACAGATAGAAGCTAAGGCGCATCTTTAGATGAGAAATATTTATAAATCTTTCTGTGCAATCAAAGGAACCAGGTATCTGGGCTACCATTCCCATCTGAATGTGTTCCTCCTTTCACTCGCTTTCAGGCTGTATTTCTGCCTTATATAATGCAAAATCAAAACATCAGCCACGTGCTATGTGCTAAATGGCGCGTCTAAGCTACGGAAACAGCTGTTAAAGCGTAAACAAAAATCAGATGATGGCAGAGACATAAAAGAGAGTGTCTTTCACGCAGAGCTTTCACGCTCTCTCTCTCTCTCTCTCTCTCTGAATTAACCGTTTCGCTCTGCAAACAAACTTCACTTTCATTCAACAGCCGAGAACCGCTTTCGTGGCGCCTCGCTGCCTCTCGTTGCGCTTCGTGGGTGTCGTGGATCAGTTCGACGTAGCAAACCGAAGCTGAAGGTTGTCCTGTCGTCGTGTTGTGTGGCATAGGTGTGCGTGCAGAGACGTGTATATCCAACGTTAGGGATTCCTCTTATCAGGACTGCCACACGCCACATTCAGTTCGTCTGCAGACATCGACGGAAACAGTCGGCGAGTCGCGTATCGTTCGTGTATTCTGCGCTGAAAGCAAATTGTGTAATTATATTTGATGTCCTTCGTTAAGATTAAATATTAAATGTGTCCTCGAGTGCGTCTGCGGCTGCTAATGAAAAATCCTCGAAAAATACAATAAAAATCAAAGGAGAGACGCGTGCCACATCCGTCAATGGCCGTCAGGACTCTCGCTTTTCCCTTTTGTTTTTTTTTGTGCTAGCTTTTGTTTCTCGCCCCCCACAGTGTTTTTCTTTGTGACTGTTGCAAATATTTCTCATATGCCACATGCCACGGTCCTGAAGTTGGCCCGATTTTGATTTTTATTACCTCACGTTGTCCGTTGCTCGCTGTTTTTGTTGGTCCCCGCCTCCGTACCGCTTCCGTGCCACAACCGTTCGAACTTTTGCATAAATAATTCAATGCGCCTAGAGGTGAAATAAAAACTGGGCTATCCATTGAAATATTCAGCCAGCTGGAACCCGCAAACGGGTCACAGAAAATGCTCGAAAAGCTTGGGGTGTTCACCAAAAATTCAACTCTTCTTCAGCGGTCTATAAAAACATAAATATTCTTCCTGAAAACAAAAAGACATGCGTCAAACGATTTAATACACACCGCAATTAACCTACAAATAATGGACCATTTCTTTCATAAATTCATTTCGATAAGAGCACATCCAAATACGAATAAAGACATGAATTCATAGTGGGGAATTTATGTACAAGATAAACCATTATGTGCTTTAACGGATAGACCCAACAATTTACATCTTAAAAGTGGTCCCTCAGTCCAGCTTTTATATTTTACCCAACAAAATCTCACACTTTAAAAATATTTCAAGGCAAACCAGAAGAAAACACCAAATTCCTAACCAAAATATTTCTGTCACATATTTTTTTGGCTGACTCACGTCGCCAGGTTGGCCCTTGGAATGGAATGGTAGTGGCTGCGAGTCCTGGGTGTTGGGTGCAGGGTCCGTGTCCTTTTTGGCTCGTTATTTGGTCGACCTCCAGGCAACACTAATTGCAGCAATTTTTCAAGCTCCACCGAGCGACGCCCGCCCGTGTTCTCCTTTCCTTTTCAGGCCACTAAAAATGTTTTTGCTTTGCATTCTCCGCTTTTGCTTTGGCCAATTTCCATGGAAATGCAACTGTGAATTTTTGATATATATCAAACAAAAAAAAAATCAAATAAATAGAAAGAGAAAACCGGAGGAGAAACTGCGAAATGTTTGTGGTCGTCCTCGAAAAGTCCTTGACACGTTGGCCCCTTCATCTAATGAAGAATGATTGCGGCTGGCGGCTGGCGGCACCGCTCCGGGGGGGATTTACAATCATTTTTCAGTTCCCCGAGGAACTCGAACGCCACATGAGTAATGATGCCTCGGCCTCGTGGAGCATTACCCAAACAAAGATCTGATTGCATTATGGCATCGAAATGTTTTGGATTGCTTGTCTTTGACCCGAATTAATTATGAGAATCAATTAGGGGGAAAATTGCTTTTTAATGAATATCAAATATTGTCTAATAAATAAGCAAAAAAAAATTTATGAGGAATTTCAAATTAAAATCAAACTATTTGCAGATATTAAGCGGAGACAAAAGCAAAAGCGTGCAAATATTTCCACAAACATTTAAAATTCCATTATAATATTCATTCAATAAAAAGTGCTTGTGTGAAATTAGCAAATAAAAGGCGATATAAAAAGAGAACCACAGATAGAAAGAGAGAGAGAGAGAGAGAGAGAGAGCGTGGCAAAAGAGAAACAGTGCAAGTGAAGTGTGAAACGAAGGGAATTGTACCAAGGCAAAGCGCATCTCGAAACGGATTGGGGAATCAGAGCAGAGGCCAAAACCCAAACCGAAACCCAAACTCAAACCAAAGTCAAGGATCAAGTGGAGTCGCCGGGCGGCCGATGATGGGCCAGAACAAAGGAGCGCCAGCTGAAGGAGCTCCAGCCAGCTGCGGCCTGTTGATGCGGCTGGTGTCCCTGGTGTTGGTGGTGATGCTGCTCCTCCTGCATCTCGTGGTTGGGGCACATGCCACGCCGTCTCCCTCCTCCATGCAGACACCACAGAAGCGAGGTAAGTGCTGCCCTGCCGCCACTACACCATTCTCTCCTACGCTTCGCTGCCATTGTGGTTCGATGGGTCGGAGGGAAATGGCAAATAAATGTCAAATAACATGGCTATAACCATAGCACCCAGTGCACCCCTCTCTCATA